TCGTCGAAGTTAGCTCTTAGCGCGCAGTCAACGTAAATGGAATACATTCGAGATGCCGTCCGATTTCTACCATAAATAAGATACAGGGCGTTAGATAATTTTAGTTTATATATGCAATTCAATTTAGTTCTAAAGCTGAATTACATGTATGTTGAAATTAATTTCAGACGTAGACGAGTAAGAAAATACAACGCTATTGATATTAGTTGTACATTATTGCTTTAGGAAACTTATCTATTGATTGACCTAAATCTAATAGCATTCGTCGCTTTTAGAAATCAGTCACCTTCCTTGAACAGGAAATGATCGTCCAGTAATTGTTGCCGGATCTGTTTGTCTAATGTTCTGAGCGTGTAATAGGCCCCTTTGAGCTCGTCCTTTAACGAGATTAAAGCTTCCTGTACCTGGAGCCACAGGATAATCGTGTTATAAAAGCTATCTTGTAGCTTCACTCTTACGGTAGCTTTAATTCCCCTTCGCCACGACACTAAGCGATATAAAACTAATTATAGAAATCATTTTCTTGGGATAAATCACGCGCGCGCGGTTTTTACCAATGGTGGATTTAGTGCTTCAGAAGCCCTAAATGCGACGACCTCTGCTTTGTTCAGCTTTATAGTTCAATAGACTGAATAGACAGAACGCAGTCGAGGAAGAATTTTATTTACAAGTTTTTGTAGAACGATAACATTTCTCAAATTTCTGTCAAACGTTCTCTTTTATTAGAAATTACAAAATTGTGAAGATGAAATTATTAACTCACATAACAATTTGAGAAACAGCCAAAGCTCTAAGAATCCGTTTAAACCGCTCATAAATCCGCCTATCTTCATTTCTAACTCACGATAGTGAATCTTGTATCAGAATTGAATGGATAAGAGACTTGATCGGTTTTACGCAACGAACCTACGTGCTTTTCTTTGGGATAAGATTACTCAGTTTTTCTGGCTCGTTTCAATCCAGGTCGAAATGAACATCGTTAGTCCTAAAACGTAATACTCCTCAATCAGGGGATCGAACAATCCAGTGAAGACGTCATAGGCCTCGGGATTAGGCGCGTGTATACCCTACGATAGAATTAGGATTCATACGGGGCAAGTCGAATCATGTCTATCAGGGATAAGCCCCAAGTGGCCGAGCGTATCTTTAGTTCGTTGAATAGAATTCTCGTCGGATACTTTTTCAGCAAGGGATCATCTTCGTTTGAAAAACAATAAATACGTTATATATAAATAATAATATTTATATAAAGTCACGGCGTTTGGCCCTTATGTTCATTCGTTTGAATTAGATATATGACCAACAAAATCAAAATATTGTAAAAAAAGAAAATCTTTGCGCACTGTCTTCCGCGCTGACTCCATATAGCCCTTTATGTCAATTATTAATGTTTGAATATCGAGGAGTCCGTTGTTAACTACTAATATTTATAAAGTGATATAAATTATTATAAACTATTTATAAAAAATTTTTTATAAACTTTCGGAGTATTTTCGACAATACTTTTAAAAAAGATATTTAAAAACACTTTCTAATTTTTCACCTCAAGGATTTGTTTTTTAGCATATCGCTAACTTTGGAAGAAAACGCAAATTGTCTCGCAAATTGACGAAGTCTTAATTATTATTTATCGGTTAATTTATGGTTATATTTTATAAGTTTTAAAATAAATTTACCACAACTAATTAAAAATTTATTTAATTTTCCGGAAATTTTGTTTTGTTTAGAATTTAGAATTTAAATACGGCAACATGTTTTAATATTGAATAGTAATTTAATATTACATAGTATCAACCGAGTTTAAATTGGAGAATATTTTATTCTACACACATTCTTTATTTTTATAAACTTCATGAAAATATCTTCCAGTTTTTTCAGTTTGTCATCGTTTGCTCTGACGGAGCTCGTCTTTTTTCGGCAAGCGCACGACGTGTGCTTGTCGCACATTTTTTTGCAACCTCTTTCGTTCGCTCTCTCTTTCTCTCTTCATGTAATCGTAATCCTTTTTTTTGCACACTCGTCTTTTTCTATCCTATCTGCCATCGTCTATTTTGAATAATTTTCTCGTCTCCTCACCTTGATTTCTTCATCCACGCTTGAGATGCATCTCATTCACAACGTTGGATTTTAATTACATATTTTTTTCACGTACTTCTCATTCTCCTGCTCATATTCGTTTTTCTTTTTCCTTGATAACCGTCGTAGTTAGGAGAACTCTATAGGAAAAGAACGTGAAATTTCAACTAAAAATAGCGATATGTGTTATGCAAGCTAAAACTTTTCATTTATTCTGAACAAAGTAAAACATAAAATACGATTAAATAGTGTAAAATAAGATAAACTTGTATTAATTTCTAGAACATATTTATTTTTTGAATAGTTATTGTTAAATATGTTGAATATTTTCTTTTAATATAAATATACTTAAATTGATAGAAAACAGCAATTTTGTATTTATTGTAATAATAATAATAATTCAATGATAATTGAGAGACTTATCTAGTGCAAAATGTATTATAAAAAAATATTACGTTAAAATAATATTACGTTATTTTTATTACTGCATTAAACTTGCAATATTTATAAATACTTTATTCTCTCGTTATTTATATCAACCTTTTGAAAATCGGAGTTTTCTTAACAATATTAACTCATAGAAGATCTAATTGTTTTCTAAGGATCGCTGCATTTTCGATTCTGACCACATAATTCTAAAATTCAAATTTCAAAAAATCTGATTATATCGTGAAACTCGATTTTAGGAAATTCTTGGTATTTCTGAGTTTAAGTGTAGCTTGAAGATATCAAATTTTAAAAATGTAATATCTTTATGAAGTAGAATATAGTGTCAAAGGGCTCATAATTAGAGTTTGAAAATCAGTTTGAAAGTCAGTTAAATGTTTATGTAGCTCTGATGAACTTCATGTAAAACGAAACTGGAAAGATATTACATCGCAGTTAAAATCTTCTTAAAACCAAAGGTCATCAAATTGTTTTTTTTCTGTCCGCCATATTGAATCTATCATTTTGAATTTTTTTTATTTTTTACTTCAATTCGAATAAAACATTATCAAATTACTTCATAAGTCAAGTTTTATAAAAATCGAGCGAGTAGTTTAATAAAATAAAAAGAAGGTGACCCCGAATAAAGTTGCCGATCCACAAGAGTTAATCAGAATTGATCTCGTTATTTATGTTTACTCGTACTATTATGTAGGTCAGGCTTGCAGCCGAGTTGCACATTTCGACCGATTTTGTTTATCGTCATCCTCACTCCTTTTGTTTCATAGCATTTGACCGTGCGTGGAGACATAAAACGTTCGAACTCAGGAATATGATATTAGCCGTAACTCATACAGGGCGCTATAGGGCTATAGGACTTTGAAATATATCGCTTCACATTCACTGTTTACAAATTTTTATAATAATAATAATAATAAAAATTTGTAAACAGTGAATGTGAGACAATATGTTTCAAAGTTTCTCTCTCTCTCTCTCCTATAGCCCTATAGTGCCTTGTATGAGTTACGGCCAAAGAATAGAGAACGGACTGCGCGATCCGTGGTCAAAATGGTCGATAAAAGTAAGACCGAGGAACTGTGGAAGACGGTCAATCTGTATCTCTTTCCATTCAACAATATAATGGATGAGAGGGAGATTGGCCATCTTCCACGATCCCTCTCTCTCATTATTGTCGACCATATTTGATATACTACTTATTATTAGATACGGATCGTGCAGTCCATTCTCTATGTCTTTGGTCATGGCTAATATCATCCTTGAGTTCGAGCGTTTTATGTCTCCGTGCACAATCTAAATGCCATGAAACAAAAGGAAACGGGGTGACGATAGGCAAAATCGGTCGAAATGTGCAACTCGGCTGCAGGCCTAATGTAGGTAATCAATTTTATACATAAGAGTATTAAAATATTTTTACTTTAAATTTTATCGCTAAAAACGTTCCTCTTGATTCGTTTAAATATGTTAATTAAGACAATATCGCGGCGATTTAATTTTATCCTTCTACTTTAAAATCTCACGTTTAATTATATTATAAGTAACTTTTGTATATATTTAAAATATAGATATTAATATTTCATATTAATATTTCGTTGTATATTAATATTTTGGATACAGGCGTGATTTATCTATATTTTGTATTATTAAATATCTTCGCATAAATTTAATTTTGACACAATCAAAGTAGAAGGCTGAATGGATAATGCTCCTCCATCTAACACCACGCTTTTATGACTCAATAACGCATTTCGTGTTACATATACACATAGGCAAATGCCGTGGGTTATAAATTATGCCAGGAAACTTCGTGGGAAGAATATTGGTGGCGCACGCAAAACTAAACAAACCTTTCACGAGGATCCTAATGACACGTAACGAACGCGACTGACACGAACTATGCTCGAACTTCAAAACGCGAGGGGGTAGCTTTCGTGTAAATACTGAAGAGGCAGGGAGAAATGCAAGAAAGTCGAGCGAAATTACCCAGAGGTGAAAGAGTATGAAAATTAATTAATTATAATATTGAGGTGCGTCAAGCTGTTAAACGATGTTCAATAGTTTCATCAAAGGATGATGTATAAAATACATAGAGGGTCGAAATCTTATGGTCACTTTTTTAAAAAAAGGAAAATATTATCACTTAGTTAATAATTTATTGAATACATTTAAATATAAATTTGAATGTAAATTCTAACTCCATATCTATCTTCAAATCGTTAAATACTAATTTAGTGTTAAATTGGCAGTTCTGTGATATTATTTTTTTAAGGAGAATTAGAGATACTACTATTTGAATTTTATTTTTTTTTAAGTAGCTTTATACAATTATTTTTTGAGAAGGGTGTACACTTGATTACCTTTCATCTTTATGAAAGAATATCGAGCTGTGTGTATTGTTTGACCAATGTTACAGCAATTCGTCTGTTTACCGTCATTTGTTTGTTGATCGATCGCGATGCGTACCACCATCGCCTGTCAAACATTCGTTTAAACGGTAGACTGGCCGTTTCCGCGATCTCTCCCCGAACATCGATGCGGTATCGTGGCACGATCTCGACAAATTATTCGGTAGTTATCGCCCTCCCCATTATGGACGACACTAGATTGTACAAGTACTATCGAACATCCGGATATGGTTTGAATTCGCTGGTCAGAAATGCGGATTGATTAGGTTAGTCCAGTTCTGTCGAGGACTTTAATTTTTCACGCGAATCGTGCTTTGTTTCAGATATACCGATTTCTCATCGCTGATTATAATCTAAGACGATTCTTCAATTTAAGTGCTTATTGCGGAGCGGTGACTTTTGTTACTTTCATCTTCGTAGTAATTATGGCCGCCTGTTCGATAGCGGTGAGTTTATTATATAGAATAATTTTAATTAGAGGACGGATAACAGAATTATAGTTTTACTTTTTTCGTACATGTAATAATTATTTTATTTTATTAGGCATAAAATTTATCAGATAATTAACGAAAAGGGTTTAGATTGTATTAATCGTATTTAAAAACTTGTCTATTAATTAATTTTATTCATAATAACAAGCATGAAAGCTTCTACGAATTATTAGGTTTGGTAGAGAAAATTCAAGTGAGCTTATTATTCTGGCAATTAATTTGCATATGATACCGTATGACTCGATACAATAATTAAAACGCCATGACAATACGAGTACACGATTCTATAATTAATTGTTTGCTTTAAATCCAACGTAATAATGTTATTTCAGCGTGTAATTAATCAAGGAACAATAAACGATCGACGTCGCGAAATTATCGATATATTCCCTTTCGTGACCAGGTTTTGAATAGATAATGCTCACCGTTATATATATCGTAACGAAAGAAAACGAGTCACGTATCTTTCGAAAACCTTGCCAGCGCCAAACTCTCTTGCCGGCTTAAAGAAAATGTAAACAACTTTGCGGGGCAATCACTTGAATACTGATATATCCGCGCACGTGCCACGTTGTAACAAATATAATTCTTACACATATAAAGTATACGCCTTCTTGACGAAGAGGATTTCAGCTACATATCTCCCACGCAATAACGTTTGCTTTAATTCTTATCGGCGTAACGACGTTCAGAAGCTACAACTTTGAACTTGACAAATTTGCAAACATATTTTTACTACCCTTTAATCCGCTGTTATCTTTATTTCACGACATTTATGTCTTGCTAAAATAGTTTCTATTCAGAAAACACGCGATAATTTTATAACAATTCGTTATTATTTTTAACAAACTCAGCATACAATAATGGAGAATATTAATATAGAATCAGAAATAAATACAAAAAAATAGAAAGATTAATTTAATAAAACAAAAATTTAATTTAATATATTAATTACTTTAAATATTTAATTCTGTTTTCATATCAGGGTTTAAATATGGTGACGTTAAACGATACACTTTTTCGTGAATTGTTCGAAAAAGCGGAGAAGGTAAGTTGGACAGTTTCGGCAATCGCAGCTAAACTGAAGTTTGATCGAGGCTAGAGAGATATTGAACCACATTTTAAAAGCATCAATTGCCCATAATTTGTAGAAGTTACCACGAATGGAAAGTGTCGTTAGCATCATACCTCCATATAAATGTATTCACAAGCATGTAAGTTTGTTAAAATTTTTAAAGGATACGGTTAACGTTCTCTTCGTCACGCTAATAATTTTAATCTCTAGTTACAACGAATGAACGTGTTTCAAGAAAAAACGAAGAAAATGGTAGGTCTCGATAATCTATCCTTCGCTACTCTCACTAATTAAATATTTTAATATCCGGATATCCGGATTTCGTTGTAACAGCTACGCAAAGAGCAATTGGAATTGGAAATAATGAACAGCAAAATGTCGTGTATCGAGAAGTTATTGAAGCCCGAGGTAAATTATTTGTCACGATAAATGGGACGCATTGTGCGGTCGGGTCGTTACTAGAGTAAATAAAAAAAAAATCTCGTTCCAAAATTGAGCGCTATCCACGCGTATCCTTTGTCGCCTTTTAATTCAACGCTATTGATAAAAATAATCGATCCATAGCTTATTCTCATCCCTATTCAGAATTTACGCGCGATCATCGACCTTAAATAATTTAATAACCCGCAGGTCGCAGAGATGAATACGATGAAACTCGTAGAAACTCTTACAAAGGGTTACGGATAACCCGTGTGCCAATCGCGAACTCGCTTTTAATTAAAATTTTGCCGTCGTCGATGAATGAGAGATTTAATAAAACGCATTTATGCAATTTTCCGCGTATACGCGTGAGATATTGTTACGATAGAAAGGAGTATCTCTTTCGCTACACGCGAGGACGACCTATAAACTCTGAATTACCAAAGGTCGTATAAACGTATCATGGTCTCTGCGACTTTCGGTCGTTGCGTCGGGCATTAGATCAGTCTCGGTATATATCCGGCAGGTAGTCGCGTTCGATCGGCAGACATAAAATTAGATTCGACCCTATCTCAGACCTTTCTGTGGCTATCCGAGTTTATCTTTCGCGACGGCATATATTTTTACTCATGTTGTTAACTCTTTCTGAACGCGGATATTTCGGTGCTTTAATTAAGCGTGCCATACTTTTATTTCTTGCCGATAATAGAATTGATATTCAACGTTGAACTTCTAAATTAGTGATGAGTCATTGAAAGTATTATTAATAAGGCGATACCACAATTACTATAAATATCACATTCTTAAAGAATTAAGATTTTTATCACCAAATGATATTCTGTTCGATAATATCGATAATAATTGACGAAATAAGTTGAAATTGTGCAAGTCAGAAACTTCTGCTTTAGTTTAGTTTCTTTTAATCAATATGTGACGAATTTTTTCCGTGGTACATGCATCATTATATTGTGTAAATTAATTCATTTACCCCCTAATAAAATATTTATTATTGATAAAATTATTGACATGCAAAAGTAATGTATATTGCATTAATTGAATATTGTCATTAAAATTTGTTGATAGTAACTATATCCGATTATTATGCTGATAATGTATCTATTATACAAACATTATATATACATATATATAAAACTCTATTAATAATAATCTCTCTAGGAACAATCCGAGTGGCGTCGTAGTAGATCACCAAAGGTATATCATCGCTCTATTAACGTAGAAGCATCAAAGTAGCAAGTGAAAAAGAAGACATTTATATGTAAAATTTGATAAAATATTTTGCTCTCCATTTTATAATTTATGATGTTTTCATTAGAGATGTATAATTGATATAAACGTAATGTTGTCTCGTGTCACATTTTAAATATGTAATATAAATTTTGTGGAATACAGTGAACCAATAACACACATTTTCACATATTCTCGTTGATGGTATTTAATTATAAACATTTATGACCCTTCGTGATTTGATAAACGTCTCAAAATTATATACTAGATCTAAAATTATATTAGATCCGTTCGCCGTATTTATGGATGTAGAGCACAAGTTATAATATCACGATACGTGTTAGATACGAATTAATTTAAAATTTAGTGAATTATAACTTTATCTCATTCGATAAAAGTATTTCGAAAACATTTTCACGTAGCGGAAAAACAGTTGCAAACAATGGTTTTGTCATCGAAGTATCGTTGTTCTGCGTCCTTGTCCAACACGCGTAATTTTCGTATGATCACATGCAAAGCAGTATAAATCGTGACCTATTAAATGGACTGTATCACGTGCAAACGCATAGTTTTTCTGACAAAATTTTTGCGCTGAAATAGGCGGCGACACGGGATGCTGAAACTCTAGTACGTGCCGAAACTCGCTGAAAAAAAATGTGACGATCTTTTTTGCGGTCAACCACATGTGAACGACGAGTGCTGTTGCGTTTTGTAAAAAGTAAACGCCATAACATCGCTTACGTTATTCTCTCTTCCTCTCTCTCTCTCTCTTTCTCTTTCTCTCTCCCATGCTTCGATATTCAACCATTTTAAACCATGTTATTTTAGAACGTATTCACGAAAATCATTAAAGGCGACCATTCAGGATGTATCATTTTTCTCAATACTTTCCATTACACGTATGTTATATACATATTCGTTTGATTATTCATTCTACTCAATTATTCATTCTTATGTAATATGCAAAAGTCAAATCGATAATACGTTACGATCTGTCAGTTGAGAAATTATCAATTAAAAGTCGATTAACTTGAACTTTCAGAAATTCACAATGTCGTTGAAAATTCTATTTAATCAAACGAATTTTCCAGAACGCATTTCAGTGATAGTAACAGAGAAATCAGACCTTAGTTCTACAAAATGAAAAATTTATTATAGTTATTTATTATAGTTATATTGCAAACGACTCATTTAACATAAAATTAATCAAATAATCCTTAAGATCGAGAAGTTGCTGAATATATAGGTAATATATACGTTACGTAATAATAAGAGCTATTGTGAGCACAACACTATTGTTTCGAGACAATAACCATTGAAGTTTAACACTATTATCCAACTTGGAAATAAGAAAAGACAATTTAGCATGATTACAATCTACCGAACTTTAACGTCTATTATATCAAGACGATCACGTGTATGTGTGTGTGTTTATGCTACACGTGGTTGTTGCGCAAAACTGTGCCGGTGCAAAATGTATTAATACATGTACTTTCTACAACTTTAGCCATAATAAGTTCACGTTGCGGAAAAACGGAAAGAAATCAGAGACAAGAATACTATGTCGGATTAGGTGTATAAATATAAATCGCGTTTCTTTCCATTTTAAAATTATTTAAATAAATTATTAAATTATTTAATTAAGAATACATTCATCTGACGTTTAAACATGAAAAGTTTCGTGGAAATATGTATATACTATATTATCAAAAATTTTTTTTAATCTTATGAAAAGAACAAAGAAAAAATAAGGATATAATGTAAAGTATTTTTATCTTTCTAAATTGAGCCAACATAATATTTTTTGAATCTAAAATAATATCTTATGCTATTCGACCTACATTTCGTTTATATATAAACATCTATTTCTATTCCTGATTTAAAGTTGACTCACCCCCGTGCCGACCGATCGCGCACCATCCCTTTTCTTTTCTCGCCTAAGCTTACGGATGTCGCCAGTAGTGCCGGTCCGAACTGACGCGGCGCAGCGAGTCTGGCTACAACCGTCTGTTTCCACTTTCGATCCCCCGCCACGGGGTTGGAGAGACTGGCTCAGGAATTGAACGCAGCTACGTGGCGTATGAGAACAGGGTCTTTGCTCCCGTTTAATATTTTAGCCAGTCCATTGGCTGCTGCCGCTCGAGGCATCGACATGCGCTCTGGCTTTCGGCTCGTTCCGTTCAGCTCGGCACGGTACGGCACGGCACGATATTGCACGGCACGACACGGCATGGAACGGAACGGCACGGCACGCCGTGCTGTTCGCACGCCTCGTTACGTCAGGCCGGACTTGCAGCTCCGGGGTGCAATCTAACGAATGCGCTACGCGGCATCCGATATCGATATGGGGATGAGACGGATCGATTCGCGCCGCGCGCGCTCGGCCTGTTTATTCGGCCATCGATCCCGCACCTATCGAACCGCAGTAGTCGCTTACGGTTCGGGAAGTATTGCATTCCGACCGATTCGTGAGAACAGTCTTCGGAAAGGACCTCGTTATAAACAGTAGATCGTTACCGTATCGTTAAACTTGGATTTCTCTGTCTATTTCCTCTTCCCTAGCGTATAAAATCGAGTTAAAAGGGAACTGTTAAAAACAGTTGGAGTCTTAAAGAAATACGGCATCTATGTAGGAACTTTAATTCTATAATATCGCGCGGTTATATCACTTTCTTTTTTCCTTTGATTTTTTTTAGAATCTAAATTAATTTGATAATTGTTTTTTAAGGTGCCTCTACATAATTCGCAATTCGCAAATGCTGACGCAGAATGACCATCACTGCACGCGGATGAAAATTAACCGCACGCAAACGAAAAAATAAATGCAAATTGTTGCATTTGATAGCATCAAACATCATGATGTTTTATAGAATGATAAAATGGTTCGATTTATACTAATACTTTCTTTCTTTTCCTATTAACTTTTTTTTAGATTCTAAATTGATTTGATGTTTTTGCAGAGTTACCACAAAACTGGAAGTCAGAGAAATCAGAGAAATGTTAGGGAAATTGAAAACGATTAGGGTAAATTAGGGAAAAGTTAGAGAATTTTGAACAATTTTCTGAAAAATGAAAATTTTTGACTTTAATGGAATTTAATATGCGTATATCGCATCTACATAGTTTTAGAATACCATTAACTTAATAATAAATGCAATCAGTGTCAGCAACATTAATGGTAATTTACATTGCTGTGTTAAATTTCTCCCGCAACAAAAAAATTTTTGACTTTTAAATCAGAACAAAAATACAAAAAAAAATTCAAAATATTATTAAAAATATCAAAGAAAATCATGAAATTTTTCCTTGAAATCAGAAAAAACTTATGGAAGATTTTATAATGAAGATTTGTGAGACAATCCTGTTTTTATACGACACAAAACAATTCTTACAATAAAACGCACTCATTTGATAGCATCAAACATCTTTAGATAACAGTTAAATGGTTCGATATTTTAAACTTATGATATATGGAGCCGCATTTGATGCTTGTGGGAACTAACGTGAGGGAATATATCATGTTTGCCCGATGTAACATTGATGAATGGATTATAATCCCGAAGTTCAGGACCGATCATAAAGCTAATTTTTTTTGTGCGAAATATTCCGCAAACCGCAGACTATGTGTTAACATCACAAAGAAATAATTGCTGACTTAATACGAATGCAAACTGCGATAAACGTTTATACTTACTTTAAATATTTGTGTGAGAGAGAGAGAGAGAGAGAGAGAGAGATATCGTGCGTTTGTCTTAGATATGTGGTAAAAAAATATTGACAATTTTTTTTATGTTTGACTTGATAATTCAGTGGAAAAGCGGTTCCCCTGCTCCTACTTCATCTCCGTGCTACGATCTCCGGATTTTTAAACCTCGTAAAATGGCAACCCTAGTGTTGACGTTGGAGAATCGGGTATAGAGTAGCTTCTATATCTCCTACACTACGTGGTCACTGAACCGTGCGGAGAATTTTTAAAGTAGAAGAAACCTTACAGCATGCAGACTATTGCTGGCATAGCATAGACGTCTAAAAGTATAACTTGTATGTTTCCTGCTTGCTGTAAAGCCGCGTGTCTATATAATTAAGTTTAGTATACAGTAAAGCTATAGCATTGTGACGTAAAGTTGAAGTTAGTTGGCAGCGAGATTTAACAGATTTAATAAGCTCGGTATTTAATAACGATGAATATTAAATCTGAATTACAATTTTGAATATAAATTCAGAAATTTCTTTATGTGCGCACAAAGATTGAAATTGAAGGATTGATCGATGTTTGTGCTTTTGTTACGCGACTCGACTTGGCTTCTTTTGTCACCCATCGACTATAGTCAGTAAAGCCGTATGTTTGCTGATTGTCATTTTGTGCCGACTGGCATAGATCGATTGACACGTATTCAGTAACGGGCAATGCCCAATGAGCTTGTTGATCGGTAAAGTCGATTATAGTAAGGAGTATAGAAGGCGTCTTAAAGCAGAAACAGACTCGCAAATTAAATTAAAATAAGTTTATTAAAGAAGAATATGAGAAGAAATATGGATGTAGCATGATGTAATGGTGTTTGAGATTAGATTATTGAAAAATGTATACTTTATTAATATCGTCACGGCGATTATCCTTTTTTATCCATTACATGATTAAAACTAATTTAATTTGTGAAAAATAAATGATTATAAATATATTTTAGACTGATAAGAATAAATTAAATAAGGGGAAGAATCGTATTTTTTATTTATAGAATTGAAAAACGTACATTGACTCAAAACTGTACGTAAATACAATAAAATATTCATTGAATTATGAAAAAATAATGAAAATTGGTCCAATGAATTCTCACGATGAATTCTAATGATTTGGATTATAAAACTATTTCTAGAATTCATTGCAAGAATGAATATATAGTAGTATAAATGAATCCAGTTATTGTATCAATGAATTAACTACATTAAGTCGGACATTGATTAACGATCATTCATTGGACCAAAAATGAACAAAATTTTTTTCAGTGTATTGCATATGAACATTGTCAAG